CTTCTTGGGCTGCCTGAAACCACGGTGTATCTGTAGCATTGGAAGTAGTGCTGAAACCATCAAACTTCAAACAACCTGTGTCACCACACAGGAGCATGGGTGATTTGTATTAATGACCCAGTGTTCTCATTAGATGCTTGAGGGAAGCCTTAATTCCAAGGTGGGGGAATGGATTTGAATAATCCGTATGTGGCGAGGTTGAAGCCGAAGGTTCAAAGCCATGATGACCTCTGTGTCCACCATGAAAGGAAAATGCCAGCCCTGCTTGCCAGAAGTCTCCACTGACAGGAGATTGAAATATACTTATGTTGGGAGTGGGCTTTGCAAATATTTTCATGACTGCGTTCAAGCCTAACAATTTACCTCTGTTGTTTACTACTGAGCTGTTAAATTCAGATGATGATAATATGGCTTTACAAATCTGTGAGCCTGTCAGTGTATCAAGTAATTTTTTTGAGCAGTCTTTGAAAAATTCTGTCACTGGCACTGCTAAACTAAGACAAAATGTCAGTGATTTCTTATAAATGAGACGCTGCAGTCTGTGGTGCTAATAAAACCCTGACTGTGACGGTATCAAGAGAATATTCAGAAAAAACTGTCAAGGTATCGTGGTTCCAGGAGAAACAAGACTGAGTCATACTTGTTTACTGAAGAAGGTTTTAAAATGCAATAATAATACTAGGAAGTAAGCACACCTGCCACGTATATGAAATGAAAGTCCAAGACTTCTGAGAAAAGTATCAGTATCCACATTCATTTACTAGTAAACATTTGTTTGAAAATGGTAGATTTAAACTGATGGCTGTGATGAAAGGTGTGCAGGCACGCTGTCTAGGAAACAGCACCGTGGTGGTGCTAATTGAGAAATGTGAAGTGGTACCAGAGCATTTAGCATGATAGGGAGAGCTGGAGCTCTGCAGCCTGTGCAGCAGAGAGGGTTTTGCCCTCATTTGAAAAGTTGATGCTTTATTCCTAATGTTGTAGTATCACTTCCTTCCCATCTCTGTTGTCCTCTGTTGTCCCTCTTGCATGCATGCTCTTTGAAGAAGGGCCAGGATGATAACAGTGGTTAAATGCAAGGAAACAAAACCAAGCATATTTTTTTCCTGTTTCTTACAAGAGGCAGTACCTTTGCTAATACTAAAAATATGTGAAGTCCGCCTGCTCTTTTTGTTTGCAACAGAAGCACATTGAGGTGTAGCATTGTTTGTACAAAACCTGCATCTTCAAGCATACGGCTCAGAGTCCCCTGATGACTGACAAGTATGGGAGGACCCCCTCTTCCTCATGGCCCTGGGCCCCTGAGGAGCGCTGCTGAGGGACTGCTTGGCATTCTTGATTTTCTCATGTCTGCCATAACCACAGCGTCTTTAGAAGATGTGGTCTTCTTCTGTTTGTGCTGCTGAGCGTGGTTACTGTGGTTGACTCTTAGGAGTGAGTGACTTGGTGGGTAGCCTTGATACCTCATGTGAAGCTGTTGCTGTTGTTACTGTTAGGGCTTGCTAGGATACATCTGTGGCTGTTGTGTATTCGTGCTGTTTGGTCTGTGGTACTGTGTGGTATCACTGAGCATGGTTAAACCATCAGAATAACACCAGTCCAGTTAGTTTCTGGTGTTTGGCTTCATGCAAGAAGAAACTTGTTAAGAGAATGTAAAGCACTTCATCTCCCCGTCCCATTCTCATTGGAAGACAGTACTAACAGAGACTAATCCATCTTTGTATTTAAAAACAAACACAGACAGCTGGGAAAAAAAGTTACTTTCAGACAAAGCATGGAGTGCTTCTTTAGAAGCCCAGTGTAGCTTCACCCTTGAAAATGAGAGTTCATGAGTACAATGAGAATTTTTAAAACCTGTTAAACACAGAAGTGACCTTCTAAAGCCCAATTTCAGGCATCTTAATGCTGTAAGTATATAGCAAAGCTTTTGCTTCCATTTAAGTGTCTAAATCTAAGGCAGAACCACTTCTGTTTTCATGAAAAATATTTTTCTTAAAACTTGCAATAAAAGATAATCCTGTGAAATACTACCCTTGTGATTGAGTCTTGCAGAATATGTTGCTGCCAGAAATATGATTTTTCTAGTAGTGATCAAAATAGTAAAAGGAATATTCCAGTACATTTTTGTGCAAGCATTTTAGAATATTTTCAGGAGCCTGATCCCGTAAACTGTTGTACTCTTCCATCGCTTTGGCTTTTTTTACCTTCTCAGATGTCTAGTTCTTCAGCAAGCAGCAAGTCATAAAGGGGATGCAGGTGAGTGCTACGCTTAAGCATTTACTTCTGGTGAGTTACTGGAGAGGAAACGAGGGCCCACTGTAATTGTGGGCATAGCCAACCAATATACACAGAAAATTGTCTTCTTTCAGCCTGCCCTCTTTGCCATCACACCCCCTAAAAAAAAAAGGGGGAAAAAAAAGAAGGAAAAAAAAAAAAAGGAAAACAGCTTGGCCTTGATGCTGAGTTTCCAAGCAAAATGCTGTCAACTGACATAGCTGAGTTGATGGCTTTTGTGTAGCTAAAAACAGATGGATATTGGATGCGTGCATACAAATTATTTTTGAAGTGGCTTTCCATGTGACTAATTGACTTACTTTTGTTTTTTTCATTAAGTTGTTTTTGTTGTCCTTTTTTTAGCTTTATGAGTTTGCCAATATCTGAGAGTGATGATTCATGTGACAGGAAGAGGATAAATAATTGCACTTTTTTTAAAGCATGCTGTGTTTGTAGCTTAGGTGAGAGAAAGACAGAGAGCAGCTTTCTTTAATGTTGAAGGGCATATGGTATCTGATGCTCTTGATCAAAATCTGTGTGTCTTGTACTCAGCATGCGTAGTTTAAATGTTTGTAGCTAGCCAAGACTAGAAGCCCCTTAACCTGGAGATCAGAAACAGATACTAGACTTATCAGTCCACCTCAGTCTTACAGTTGAAAGGTGGTGGTGTACATGGAGCATTTATTTCTTGCTCATAAAAAGGTGGAATAAGAATAGAAGAAATCTATTGTTCAGAAAGGAGTTACCAAAGACAAAGTAGAAAATTTTGGTCATACTGAAATGAGAATGGCAGGGGAAAACCACATGATGGAGATCGTGAAATTTCTAAGCCAGTTCTTTGAAATCAAGAAATTAAGAGAAGACAGTGCTTTTGTGCCCCTTTTTCAGTCATTCTCCCATCTGAATGGAAACAGGTCATCCCTTATTCAGACTCCTCTACAAGTAAGCTCTTACCACCTCCATTTGTATAACCTGTCTGTGCTTGAAAGCTTCATTACAGTAGCAAGTCTCCCGTGCACTTCTGGAGACCAAATATTTTGGGAAGAAAGGAACAGGAGATCCATTCTTGTTTGTATAGAGACTTAACTTTCTCCTAGTAGAGTCAGGCTTGTGGCATACAAGATTTTTATAAATGAATTTTAACTTCTTCTTAATACCCTATTAAGAAAGATCATACTGTCCTCCTTTTTGCTCTGAGTTCACTTCCAAAATTGTAATAGACAACCTATTATGAAATGAAATATTACAGACTCGGTCTCTGAAATGAGGTGAAGGAGAGAAGTTGGTAACTTCAAAAAAAAAGGCTAAGCACATGCGATGCCATGAAAAAGATGCAAAACCACTTGTTTATGAAGGTGACAAAAAGTCACTGCATATTTGAATACTTAAAGGTCATTTACTCATTAGTAGTGAATTTCAAGTAGAAGATCAGATTAACAGACCTGAGACCTTGCCACAGCTGCTGACTGAGTTAGGAAGCCTTTCAAAAGCTGAGCATACGTTTTTTGGCCTGTTGCCTGTGTATCATTTAGAATTAAGAGTGATCTCAGAAAATTCTTGATATATTAAGCCACTAAATGCATTTATAGTCAATTGCAGTATTCCCTCCTGTTGTCCAAGACTGATCAAATCCTGAGGATTTTAGACAGCTATATGTATTTAAAGCACTATGATGGATAGCAATGTTGACCTCAATAGTTTGGGGTTTCTTTGTGAGCGCAGGGGTGCTTGTGTTGCTGTCCTCGTACACATTGATACCACTGGTCTTTTATGGAGGCCCTTACGGATCAGCTGTACAGCAGTGTTGGTAGTACAGAGCATCTGAGCAGAGCTTGCCAGGCTGAATGGCTGCGTGCATTGGCTGACACAGCAGCCTCATGGGAAAAACTGTGTGGCTTTCACCTCTCCCATCAATGCTGCTGTCACACAGAAAACAGAAACTGGGTCCTCTCCTTCTCCAGGTTTTAGATCCTGAAAGGCGAGCCACTGTCTGCTTTCAGGTGCCAGGAGATAAAACCTTAAAGACAAAAACTATCAACAGTCAGGAAAACATGAGTTGAAGCATCGTGTGTCTACTGTCTCCATCCTGTTCTTTGTGAAAACAGACAGCTCTGTGTGCAATTCGTGTAGAACTGGCTTTTCCATTCACAACACTACTTTAACAACAGAACAAAAAGCTCAGTAGTCAGTGGAGACAATTCCAGGTCAGTTCAATACTTGGTAGTCCTCTCGGAACGGCATGCAAGTTAGTCCACAGCATGCTTCTGAGTAAGGTGTCTCCCAGGTGAAAAAGTCCTGAGGAACTCTCTTGTTTCCATATGCATGAGCTGAGCACATTTTGAACTAAGTTGAGCTTCTTTCAAAATAAAAATTGATATGACAGCAGCATGTAGCAAGCACATGTGGAGTGTTATTCAGCTGTCAAAATATGGTATTGCTGATGGGAATTCTTTTTCCATCCCTGTGCAAAAGGAGGAACTCCAGCCTGGCATCCTGCTAGTTTTCTCAGTGCATTACTAATGTTGACTTTTTTTGGGTTTTTAGCATTTCTGATTTCTTACTCGTTGGGATTTTCCGGAGTCCGTGATTCTTTCTTTTTTTATTTAAAGGGGAGGGAGATGGAGAAACAGGTAACTTCTTATCATTACAGTGTTTCTGAATAAAATGTTCTCTCTTGTTATCTTGAAATCATTTTTTGCTGACACATCATTATTTTCTTCATTTAGCGATGATAAGGTAGTAGAAGAACAAGCAGAGGAAGATGAGGAGCTAACTGTTGTGGAAGATGAAGATGCTGATGACGACGATGATGATGGTGATGAAATTGAAGAAGAGACAGAGGAAGAATATGAGGAGGCAGCTGAAAGAACTACTAGTATTGCAACCACTACCACCACGACTACAGAGTCTGTGGAAGAGGTTGTCAGAGGTAAATTCTTGGGCATTTAGCTTGGGGATGGAAAACTAATCCTGCTGCTTTGTATGTTTGCCCTTTACTACAAAAGAATGTTCCAAACAGCAAAATATCCTAAGTTGCAACATTGTTATGCTTTGGCTTCTGTAATTTGTATGTTGAGTCCCTTTCCCTTTCCCATTACAAATATTCTTTGGAGGTGTCTGTCTATGAAGTGCAGTAGTTGTGTATGATGTGGATGGAAGCAGCAAGGTTGGTTTTATTTTAAAGTAACATTAAACACAATTTGGCTGCCATATGTAGCAGATAACACAGGATGAGTTTATTTGTCTGTGTGTGTTGTGTCCATGTGTTCCTGAAGGATAGGGAGTGTCAGTTCAAAGCAATAGGTAGTACTAACTGGTTTGGTCTCTTATATTAACAGAGGTGATTAGTCATTTTGTGTGATTTCTGTTAGATAACCTGTTTCCAGTATTTCTCCATTAGCTAGTAATTCAGTAAAATCAGATGAATTTAGAAATAACTATGCAGAAAAGTGAGCCTAATTAATGAGTTGGATTTGGGGGGTGGGAAGAAGATAGGAATATATTGTCCAAAAAAAGAAAACATGGAGTGTGAAAGAACTCTTCATTTTTAAAATTTGGCTTTCATTATATTTTGTAGTTATTAACATAACTGCATTTTAAACTTTGAATTTTACTCTAGTCCATGGACAACATAGCAACATAGTATTTTTAAATGGCACGTTTCTCCTATGATACATATTTGAATGAATTATCATTATATTTCTATTTTACTAAATACAATTCCATATGGTCTAAATCTTGGTAAGATAGATGTTGATTTTTCTACAGTGCTTACATCTTTACCAGTAAGTACTGCAGATGGTGGCAGAAAATGATGAAATTAAAGCTACAATTGAAGAGAAAGGAGTTGAGATGTGCAGGAGGCAGAGGAAAAATTACAGTAATTGGGGCAGTCATGAAATGATGCAGAAAACATTTGGCCTGGCTGCTTTCCTCTGCTGTTGTTTTCCTACCCCCTGCCTCTGGGGATGCTTGGGACTGAAGTGCCAGCCGACTCCCCCTTTTTGCATGTGGCAGCATCCTTTTCTCTTGAACCATGCTGCTGGTGTTTGACAGAGCAGGTATGAAGCAGAGGGCTGCTGGATACGATTCATCACACATGCCAGGGACAGAAGGGTGCTCAGGGGGTACTTCGGAAAAAACAGTTACTTCTTTTTAGGTTTCTCTGTTCGGCCTATGTGCAGATAAGCTCACTAATCAAAAGCACTAAGGCTTTGCTAAAATTCCTTGCAAGTGTTTCTTTCTAAGGTTGGCAACATAGTCTTGTGCTTTTCTGTTTTATATAACTGTGTTAAGTGTTTTGCTCAGTTATTGAAGAGCCTTTTCAGTGAGGATGGAGCGAGAGGAGATTATGTTTAAATCTTTAAACCAATTAAATATATTTCCATATGTGAGCTTTCACCACCTGGGGATAAGACACCCTGTTCCTGCTGGTAAATGAATATTGAGAGAGAAAAAAAAAAAAAAAAGAATACTTGACTTTAATGGGATTTTGGATGAGTGGAAACGAGGACAAATTAGGTAGAGCGTGTGTCTGACTGAGGTTGACATTTCAAAGAGGTTAAGATGTTTAGCCTTCAGGAAAATAGTGTGTAATAATACAAATGTAAAATGCAAAAGAGATGAGGCTAACTATTGAAGCCACCTTTTAAAAATCCTTTAGAAATGTATGCGCTTGCTACCTGACAATGAAACGCTATTGCCGTGTTTTTACCAAGTCTAAAATTTCCCACCTTGAAAATTTACACCTATGGGTGTACGCCTTCCCCTTTACACCTTCTGAGTAAAATATGTTTTGCTGCAAGTGAGGTGAGGGTAATCCATTACCGATACAAGTTTTCAGTGCAGTTCTGTCACAGCCCTTTGGGCTTTCTGACCTCCAGTCCTCCTGGGGCATGGAGGGTGCCAAGACTGTCCCTGAGTGTGTGTAACTGGTATCTGACAGAGCCGCACCATGCAAAGTGCTCGTATATTTCTAAATGTAGAAGTGCCCAAATAGCTTAGAGCCTTGGCCCTTGCTTCTGCTTCCTTTGATGCACTTACGTAAAAGCTTCCTTCAGGGCTCCCATCCTCCTGATACGTCCAGCAGATCTGGCATAGGAGCTTCTGTGGTTAGCATCTGCTGTTGTCTTGCTGATGCAAACAGAAAAGTTTGTTGCTGTCAGTGCAAATGAAAAGGCAGAGGTGCCTAGCAGGCAACATACGTGTTAGGAAGTGGTCCGTAGTATGGAGACACCTTTAAAGCCACTCCAGATGGGTTTAAGTGTCAAAGCTTCATTCTTGTGGATGTGAGCGCTGTTCAGGCTACTTACTTTTCTCAAGCATTAGTCAGTGCAGTTCGTAGAACATATCCTAGGATGCTCTTTTCACAGACACTTTACAGCCAGTTTTATGTATGCTTTATGAAGCTGTAACTAATATTATGTCATTAGCATTATAGAGCACAGAGAATGGGTTTGTCCAATTTGAGAGGAGTTGCTTTTCATATATGAAATCAACAAAGAGCAACTGTTCTAGAACCATAAATTAGGGTCGAATTGCAGACTGGTACTGAGCCCTTTCTCCCCCACATCAATGAAATGATTGTCGTCAACCATAAATAATTGAAAAGCACAAATGTAATGTTATACTTTAAAGACACTTGAGCTATTGTAGAATCAATTTGGCAGGCATTTTTATTTCTATGCATATTTTAATGAATAGTGATCAAAATAGCAATAGTGGAACCACTTGCAAACTTATTTTCAGTGAAAAGGAAGTTAGTCTTGCCTAGAGAATGGGAGAGGTCATTGACAGGAGGACGGTGTTTTCATTAAGTTCCTGCAGCAATCATATTTTTATGAGCTATACTGGTTACTTTCAAATGTGAATAAACTTTTGATAGCACAGTATTTGCCAGTATTCACTTTCCTACCTTTTGTGAGGGACCATCTTTATTCTCAGTTCATATGGAGTAGGGCAGCAGACCCCATTTAAACTTTAAGATGTGCTCTTGTTGGGCTTCAGATGTTAAATCCCAGACGATTGTGGGTCTGAGGTTGCAGGAATCCAGAGTGAATTTAATGTCAGGTCCACTTTTTTCGCCTATGATCACTAGGAGATATTATCACTGAATTTGTGCTGAAGAAAGTGTGGCTTGTTTGTGAAGCCCTGCCGGAAAACTGTGGCTCTTGACTTTTGTCTCTGTATGGAGCAAGGGAGCTGATTCTGCTGGACGGGATTTAGGCAAGGGAGCGGTTTGATTTCTGCTGTTGTTGTCACAGCATCACGGGTGTTGCAGAGCTGCTCCCGAGGCATCCAGGCTCCAGGTGATTCTTCCACCGCGTGACCAAAGCAAGCAGGAGCGTTGCTCCCCCGTCATGTGCAATTGTTTGTGATTTCGTTTCTGCTCCCCTTCAGCTCAGTAGGTGGCAAGAAAAATCAGTCTCTCTTGGCGTACAACAAAAAATAAGCGATTTCAGCGTAGCGCTTCCCGTCAACATAGCAGTCAGTCAGGTCTCATTTAAAGGAGAGCAGCGGGGTCAGCACCGCAGCCTGGCAGAAAACACTTGGCAGCTTCTTCGCATACCTATCAGCAGATGCAGGGGATTCAGCAGCATAAGCTTGACCTGCCTGGTCTAGCATATAATGTTGCTCGTTAGCAGTTGGTTTTGCGTTCTCTAATTCATCTGGATTTCTTTAAAGAGTTAGGAAAGAATTTAAGCAGTGCTGCTTGACGTGACATTTTAACCATGTTTACAATATTGAGTTGCAAGTGAGAGACCATATGCTGGTTTCCCAGCAAGAGAAAAGTAGCCTGATGTTTGTATGGTAGCTCTTAGCTTTATTGATGTTGCGTGGAGTTTTTTTGCTGAAGATTTTTATGTCTGAAAGACTTTTAAACCCATGCAATGACAGCTACCATCTATTCTAAGGAAAGGGAGGTTAACCCTGATTGCTGGACCTATCAGCTGTCAATTTTGGGATTATATTAGTCGTATATATTAGATTAATAGGGCTTTTTTCGCCCTCAATAGTTTTGCCCCACTTTCTTCTTCGAAAGGTTATTATCTCTCTTTTAAAGTAGTAGTTCCTTTTTGTTCTTAATTTGTTTCAAGACTATGCAGCATGCTTTAGTTGGAAAGTGATAATGTGTACTTCTGTTCCCTATTAAGAAAACATTGATGCATTGCTATATGAATAGTACACATTACGATAACTCTGGTTTTTTGTTATGAGCGTGTAAGCAAGAGCTGATAAAATTAGCCTAGTGGATTTGCATTAAAATAACTGATAGCTTTTGATTAGACATTGTAATTTAAAGCACATCTATTTCATCATAACACAATACTTCAAGATACTTTGCAATTAAAAGAAATCTTTTTTATGATGTAATCTTGTTGACAGAAAAGCAATATATGATTACCATTTGGGGTCAAGGGCAAAAGTACTGAAATACTAAACACAGTAAGTGTTGCTTCATGTAAGGTTGGAGGGTGGAGAGTGTTGTCATTTGAAATACAACCTGCCAGAAGAAATTCCGGCCATCGGTAGTAGCTGTATGGCACCTTCATTCAAAATGTAGCTGTGTTCTGCACAAGTAAATAGAAAATGTTTTTTTGCAGATTTGTCCCACTTCAGAATTGTAAGGCTTAGTATTCTAGCCAAGTATACAATTACTTTTTTTTTAATTCCAAATATCCCCCTCCAGTAGTTTAAGAATAGACATTAAAGAGAGAAATTCAGTCTTAATTGGGCAGGATGGAAATTACAATTTCAGGGTATTTAACAGTTTTAGAAGAGCTATTCTTCAGTATTACATTTAGAACTCATTATTCTGCTTTGTTTTTCTTTTAACTTTCTGTGTAGAAAGTATTTTAGCAATTGTGTAGCTTGTGCACCAACTTTATTCCTAGAGTATGTGCCAGCTTCACAGCTGTCTCCTCCTAA